GGTCCAAAAACCAGTCAGTATCTGGTGTGACCACCATTTGCCTCACGCAGTGCAACACAGCAGGAATTCAGTGCTAAACAACACACAATATATGCAGAATGGGCAGCAACCCAAGCAAAGGAAACCCCTCAAGTCCAATGGATCAAATATAACACAAAAAAAATGGAGTAGGGCTGTGCCAATATGAAAAAAAATTGTCTTAGAAAGTGTAGGAGGTCTCGCTACAGTAGCAGTAGATAATCAAGGAAACTTGATAAGACGTATTATATTCAATGGGAGTGGATATGTCTCAGGGTGTTAGTTCGTATATATGAAACAGAGAAGAGGCAGAAAGCAACCAATAGTGCAGTACGTCTAGAGTCCAAAAGTGCAGTAAGTAACAAGAGGTAGAGAACTCACATTTAAAAGAGCTATGGCCAGCTCTGGTATGAGGAGCATACCGCAGTATAATCCCCGCTTATGGGATGTGGGAAGATGTATCCGTCAGCACCGTCTGGTAATCCAAAGCTCCAAAGGGAAGATTAAAGGCTCTACACTTGTGAGTATTATTCTTATCACTCTTTTATACTCTATTTTATCACAATTGAGAGCATTAATGTTGCCTTTTATCTTCCCTTTGGAGCTTTGGATTACCAGACGGTGCTGACGGTTACATCTTCCCACATGCCATAAGCGGGGATTATACCACCGTATAAATAAATATTATTTACAAACATTCTTTGCCATGTTTTAGAAAATTGGTAATATTGAAATAAAAAACTTGGGGCATCTGTGGCATTGTGCTGTATGATAAAACTGCACATTTTAGAGTAGCCTTTTATTGTGGCCAGCCTAAGGCACATCTGTGCAATAATCATGCTGTCTAATCAGCATCTTGATATGCCACACCTGTGAGGTGGATGGATTATCTCGGCAAAGGAGAAGTGCTTACTAACAAAGATTTAGATAGATTTGTGAACAATATTTGAGAGAAATAGGCCTTTTGTGAACATTGAAAAAGTCTTAGATCTTTGAGTTCAGCTCATGAAAAATGGGGGCAAAAAACAAAAGTATTGCGTTTATAAGTTTGTTCAGTGTATATTTCCAAGCAGGATTCTTCCAGACACATACACAAATGTATGATATCCATTCTCCCAGTAGTAGTAATAGTTACTGCCTGAGGGCTGATTAAGTAAGGAAATGTAATCAATACATAATTAATATATATATATATATATATATATATATATACACAACCAAGGAAGGCCAGAGGTGACAAAGGAAGGGGGACAATTTTGACACAGAGCACTGTGCTGCCTGTCACCAATTATTTTAATATATCCTATTTCATATACCCATCACCTTCTTTTGTTATTTGAGACACTCTTGCTCTGGCTAGTTGAAAAGTTGTAAAGTTTCAAACTGCAGGACTAGGGTGGTGACTCTGAGGACTGATCTGATGTTGAGTTCAATCTTTTATAATCTGTAAGTATCGCTGCTTCTTTTAACCATGTCAACTACTTCTTGACTCCATATTACACTTGCAGATTAATTATATTGCCAGCTAAAAACATAATGAGTCTATCAATATCCTTCTGTTTTAATCTTGTGTACACTGCGTGCTGAGAGCCGTGTGACTAATGAGGGGTTGGATAATGGCATGTGGACTGGGATGATGGACACTAGATTACCCCTCCCTGTTTAATTATTAGAGCCTCCACCTGCTGCCAATGGACCAGGGCTGGAGTGTGGGACACTAGCCCCCCTTCTTTATAAATATAAAATAATGATTAAATAAGTTTTAGTTTGATTCAATAACCGAAAATACTGAAAGACTGCCCGTTCACGTCTGCAGTGAATATAAAATAAAAAGATTAATTCTTAGTATCACTCTGTTTTTCTCAAACCAGGTATTATCTTTGGATTATTGTCCAAATGATAAATGACAAAACAATTGTGTATGGTATATCATTATATACAATATTGGGAAAGCGAAAACCCTCACAATATTACGATTTTCTAAAACCTGGCAAAGAATGTTTGTAAATAATATTTATATTTTATTTTTATAGTACCAAATTTGCCAAGTTTGGTTATCGGAGCAATTAGATAGCAAATATATATGTAAATAAAGGCCCTTCAACAGAGTGAATCACTATGGGTGATATATACCCAGTTAAACTTCTAAGTGCCTTGTGGTTCACTCACTCCTTTATGGCACAAAGATAGTTAATTCTTGTTTCCTAAACCCTCACAATTCTTTGGTTTAGGAAAGTCATGGTGTGCAACATAAGCAGCATTACAGCCCACGGGATTTCACAGGCTTACCTTCCTATATGACTACTCCAGTTCATTCGGGAATAAATGTGAGTCACAATATTTTTGTTTTTTTGTTCTTATTTCGTTAATGAAGACAGATCTAGGACAGTTTCATTTAACACAACCATTAACACTTTGTAAAGGCAAAGACTTCAAATCATGCAAATCATAAATCTAAACCCCCAAAAAAACTATTCTGTGATGTCATCTTTAGATATAATTTATATCCAATTTTGGAATATTGTCAGCTAAGTGTATACAATGCATAATTCATGAAGGGAGATCCAGATATTGGTGGATTAAAGGAAAGCTAAGCTGAATATAGGGATAGTGGAGTAATTTATGCAAGCAAAGATTAACTTGCTCATAATTCAATGGCTGTCATAGATTTAAGTTGTATAATATAACATCTGTTCTAAGTCTTTTTTTTGTTGCATCTTCATCTTCTTCAAGACGAAAGTCATAGTTTACAGAACTCCAAAATTTAATTTAAAGGGGTATGATGTCTCCCCTGCAAATTTATCTTATCCCTATACAATAAAACCAGCTATTTTAACTGCAGATGAAAGTATTTCAGCCTCAAGGTCAGATAAATGAAACCTAGAAGATACAAATCTACTTTTTCTTTGAGTAAAGCATGGCCACAGAATTTGCTCTAAGATTTTTAGGAAAATAACTGAGAAACAGTAAGCACTTCTAACCAACACTATATTTAAAATAAAACGCCAGGAGATGTTCTTCATGACCAGCAAGAACCCCACCTGTTCAAAGGATCAGGTATTTGGCTTCAACTTCAGCCCCAAGATGGTAGGGGCACAAATATGCAGCAGCTATAGACCAATTTTTATTAATAAACTGTAAAAATATACAAATTATTTTTGCCATTTATTGTCAATTCAGATCAAATGAACTTCATCTAAGAATATGGACTCCTCTGTCACCATTAGAAGAGACGTGGACCATTGAGACTTATTCATTATGGCACACAATGAACTAAACTGTCCAGAAATGAATTACAAAATACTTTTATTTAGGTATCATGCACTGGTATGCCTACATTAAATCTTCCCCACACAATCACCTTTATGCTGGCGGTGTAATGAAAACCCCAGTAGACTCTTACATATTTGGTGGTCCTATCGCACTCTAACAGCTTACTTGGAGGGCATACGCACATTTATGGAAAAATTTTGTGGGAAGTACTTTTAGCCTGAGAGTGTCCTCCTCCATTACCCTAGCTTATCATTGGCTCAATATAAAAAATCAATTGTAAATCAATTACAAAAAAGAAATACAAATTTCTTTTAAATGCCGCTAAGTATCTCAATCCCATGTTCTGGAAGTCTAAGGTGACCCCAACTTAACAGAACTGGTTGGATCAAGTGAGTGAAGTCAAAGCTGATGAAGCAAGGATTGCTACCTCTTTATATATTAGTGAAAACACGTCCAGAAATGGCACCCTTGCTTCAAATTTACTTCACACAGGTAGAATCTTATTTCAGATAAGGAGAACTGAAGCTTAGTTAGCATCAGAACAGAAACAATTATTTAAATGATACACAAGGGGATGTTATGAGATAAAAAAGCCCTCCTTTTTCATGTTATTATTATCTCTTTTTTTGTTGTTGTCCTTCTCTCCCGTCCGAGTGGAGAATACTTTGATATAAATCAGGTTACCGGTACTTTTAGGCTAAAGGAATTAATTTACAACGTCAGATGCTGTAAATCGGGAAAGGCTATGGTCAAGGATCAATGAACTGTTGAAGATGTGATAAATTATATAATTTTTTAAAATATATACACGCACACACACACACACATATAAATATATATGTGGTGGGGAAAAAAGTGTGGATGAAAACCCCTTCCACCTGAAGTAAGTGAATAGTTAATACATTGCTAAACACAAACACACACACCAATGCATACGCTTACCCAGAATCCCTTGCAGTAGTGAGAGCAATGTTAAAGCACTGTTAAATCCGAGGTTCTCTGCATGGTAAAGCATGCAGAGAAAATCAAGGTAAACATTCTGACAATATGAGTGACTATAGTAATGGATACTACACTGTACTAATCAGACTCCGCATTCAGTAGCTTTTACCGCTTAGGCCACCTGCACCAATCAGATCTTGATTAAAAATAAGAAAGAAGTAAAAGTAAAAGTAGCAACAATTAATGCAAAATAAAGAAACTACAGCTGCTGCTGCAAAACATAACTCCGCGTCTGGTAGGTATGTCAGTTCCCAGTTGCTGTGCATGATGCTCAAGCTTCATCCACAACAACTCAAAGATTGCCTCAAGTTTCTCTGACATTGTGAGAGACAAGACAGAAAAACCAACAATTTTTTGGTGCCGAATTGTTTCGTGCCGAATTTTTTGGTTCTGCAGGTGCGTGGCAGCCATCTTGCTCTAGGCCAATTTCAGCTTCTCAGCAGAGATTTAGCAAATCAGGTGGCTTATATGGGGAAGTTGGGGCAGGACTGACCCACCGAGGACCGGGATAAGCCCCACCGGCCCAGAGGGGGGAACGTGACCCAGGCAGCACTTGAGTTGATTATTTGGCTAGAGATAGGCCACATCCCTTGCCCTCTAGCAAACAGCAGGCCACAGGTAATTTCCAGAATCAGGAAGAGCTGGACAGAGCTAATAATATAATAATATTCAATAAAGATTTTAAAAAAAGAAGAACCATGGGCCTGCTTGTGCAGAATCCCACTGATATGGAGTTTGATGTAAAAAAGTATTTTTATAGAGTTAATTGGGCATTTCCTTAGCAAACATTACATCAACTGGAGATAACATACTCCACAAAAATAAGGACTTTCTTTGCTAAGAAAAACACGTTTGTCAAGCCTGGGTCATTGATTAAAGTGGGGTACTAGGTTAAGCAGTTTCTGCTGTATCTAGCCAGCAGCTGCTGACAGAGGCAATTGAAACAATCTTGTGTAGGAGATGCTCAGACATTTTATTACTGATCTTATTGTGAGATTGGTAAGGTTATGCACATGTTCGAATAGCCACATACTGAATGGAGCAAAACCATCCAGTTGCATATTTGCACTGCAAAATCCAGATATAGTTCATGCTATTCAACAATGTACGGATTCTGAAATTCAGGCTCTGAGTGAGTTTCAATTGGGTCTGGATTTCAACTGGACAGACGCCGCAAAGAAAAATCAGAATTTATCTGAAATTGTTTATTTTATTTTTTTATTATATCCTTTTCATGCTGCAACAACTTGTGCAAATGTTACCATCAGAGCCATTTTTAATGTGGGGCAAATAGGACAGCTGCCCAGCCCAGTTAACCTCCCCCCCCTCCCATCCAATCGCCGGTGCAGACAGTGGAAGCCTCCATAGATAAT